TCTCTCTCTCTCTCTCTCTCTCTCTCTCTCTCTCTCTCTCTCTCTCTTCTCTTTCCTGTTTCATGGTGCCTGTTAGGCACCAGGCAGTAACCGGGCCAGATGCCTGCCTGCTCAATCTTAGGGTAGGAACCACTTGAGGAAACTGTAATGCTAAACAGTCTGTTGGAGGTTGAAAGGAGGACTGTAGTGTCAGGAGCATGGGAGTTTGCAAGCCACCCTCACCCTTATATCCTTATCCATTCCTGCTCCACTGTTCCCATGTTCCTCTGGAAGATGTGAAGGGGGCTTTCATGTGTATTTTCTTGAATGCAAGTAGAAGCCTCTATGTGATCCAGAAACCTGATAACTCAGGGTTTCCAGTTATGTGGTGGATTTCTAGCCACAGTGAATTCTTGTAGAAGCTCCCTTTACAGCTTCTAGTTCAGTAGAGACAGGTAGAAGCTGGAAGAGCAGGGACTAATGCATAGGAATGTTAAGAGAAGGAGTGGCCAGTGCATGAACCCATAGTCCCTAAGCATTTAAGCCCTCCTGTGCTCTGCTGAAGTGTCTGAACTGATATTTAAACTCTAGATGAGCTGGTTCCTACATGTGGAACCATTTACTGAAACTTTACTGGGCCAAACTGGAAAGGACAACTTCAGTAGAATCAAACCAAAGTTTGCTGCAGTTTGATTCTTTGGTGAGATTTCTCACACATCTATACAAAAGTTATTGTAGAATAATGATCCAAAATCATGATTGAAAAAATGTTACAGATTCGTAGTTGTGTAATGTGAAATACGTGCTGCCAAATAATAAACGCTTTAAAAATTGGTAGCGTGCTTGTACTTGGGCATCAGGTGTATTCACATCTTCAGTCTGGCTAATGTGATGGAATGGTGAATAGCTCTAGGCAGTAAGCATGGCAGGCATCCAAGCCTGTGTGTCCAGATGGCGTGAGATGCCACCTGTCTTCCAGACTCCTTCATCATTGCAGTGTTTTCTTTCTTTGGCTCCACTCGCTGAGTTCTCTAGCTGAAGTCAAGTACAATCGTGCACTCCTGTATGCAGTGAAGTCATATAAGAGGGTTGTAACACCCTAAAAGGCATTGTCTTGACACTGTGGTGATTGATAAATATTTGCTACTGTTTGTCCAAGTGGCTGAAACAAAAACCCTTGTCAGGTAGTAACAGATCAGTATTTAGTGCACTGAACAAAAAAGGGAAAAGGAAAAGTTCCCAAAGTCTCAACTGAGATCGCTTTCTTGATGTCAGCTGCCCTTCTTCCCATGAGCAGGGTTTCCAGTGGATCTTTTTGAATGGTGCTTATTTTTTTTTAAGTTTGGATGAATCTCATTTTTGCATAGCTAATTTATGTGCTAGAATTCATACAAGCAACAGAAAAACTCCTTTGTCAAGTTCTTAAGATGATCATATAGATACCCAAAAGACTTATATGTTTTTGACTGAGCTATGAATCAGGAAATCCCGAGGTCCTGCCTTGCCTCAGCCCTGCACTGCGTAGGTCATCCTAAGGAAGCCTCGCTTTTTCAGCCTCAGTCCCCTGGCCTGCAATCTGGCAGATAATAATATTGATTTTACAGAGTAGTTTGAAGGATTACAGTTAGATTGTCCATGTGATCCACATTGTACTCTTGAAAGCACTATACAAATGTTTATTATTATGCATGATGAATATGCCTTTGTTAAAGAAAATTGCTATTCTATGCAAAGTAGCATATGAACTGTTCTCTGTTTTCCAAAAAAAAAAAAAAAAAATAAAAGCTTTGAAGTGCTTCTGATTTAATGTCTGACAAGTCTTTCTTTCTTTCAATATTTGATGTCCACAAAATATTTATATTCTATTCAATATTTTGTGTTAGGACTACCAGAACCAAAGAGGGAGTCTGTATTTCAAGGTCTGGGAATGGATGAAGGATTTTACACTTCGAAAGACTTCTTGCCACTGGTGGCTATGGCAAGTAAACCAGGTAGCTCTGCTTTCTTCTTCAAAAAATATTTTAATATGTTTTCAGCATATTCATATGAAACATTTATATCCCATCTTTTGTTGTCCTTAAGGTATCATACCAAGCAATACACAATATTTATTGCAACACAGTAAGAAGGAAAATCAGTCTTTAGACATCAGCAGTCTCATAATACAAATAATCAGTATCTACCATAGTTCATCAGAATGGGAAGGTCTACATTTTTTCCTCCCTGAAGCTAGAAGGAAAGCATACAAATGGGAATCCTCTGGGAGGTTGTTCCATACTGACGGGGCTGCATTAGTAAAGATCTTCTCCCTTGCTGCAGATACTACAGTGTTCCACAGGGAAGAAACACAGGGAAGGGCCTGCTAAGGAAACCCTGACATACAGTCACAAACTCTTCAGAGAATATGGAGTTTTATTCTAGGGTAGGATTAAAAGAGCCAGAAGCATGCATTCTGGAGTTTTTGAGTTCCCCTTTTAAGAGGGCCTCTCTCAAAAGTTGAGAGATCCTTCTGAGTGGCCTCGGAGGATACATCTCAAGACCTTTCTGAAGGAACATTTGTGTGTCCAGTAGCACTTGGTACACAGAACTCTGCCAGCCATAGTCTTGGATTTACTGCATCCAAAAAGCCAAGCAAGGGCACAGACAGGTTCTGGAGACATGTAAATGTGCTGCTCAGTAGCGAAGGAAACTGTATACTTTTAATAAAGGAAGCTTGGTTCTCTACTGACTTAGAAAATGAGTACACTCTAAAGACCTATGTGCACGACTCCAGTTAGCTCTTTTGTGTAAAACTGGTTGTTACATAGCAGTTGCCAAATCATTTGAGCCAATCTTTGAGGATAGGGTTGCCACTCATTCACAGCCAGCAAAAAAACAAAAGCCCCTCTACTTGAAAATATACAAAACAGCCTCATTCATATGAAACTCATCAGACGTGATAGATTCTGCTCTTTGCATGCTTGACACCTCCAGTTTAGTCCCACTCCTGGACAGTAGCTGCCACTCAAGGCAGCTTGGAGCCTCAAGGAAACAGGACAGTTCCTTATGCATTATTTCCCATGTCCTGAACTACCCAATGAACTTCAGGTCATAGGATTCTATTAATTTCGCGAGGTGGGTTAGGCTGAGAGTGAGTTACTGGCCTGATGTTACCCAGTGAACTGCATGAGCAAGTGCGGACTAGAACCCAGACTTCCCGGGTCCCCACCACCACAGTGCATTGGTTTATGCCTAAAACCTGGCAAGCCAAGCTTCCCTCTAGTTTAGGGAAGCAAGCCAATTTCCCCTGTGTTTTACAATCCAGGTTTGCTTCTGTAAAATGCAGTTGACATTGGGCCATTTCTCACTGGGTCGTTTCTCATATTTGTGGTGGCCCACCAAGGCTCAAGCAAAGTATGTGGATTGTGGCACATTCTGGCTGCACATTTGAATATGGAAGTCATGCTGTATGTTCCCCGTTGTTTATCATTTTGTACAAACTCAGGGAGAGTAGCTCACTGACAGGTTAAGCGAATTCTTGCATGCCCTAACTGCAATTCAAGTGTTGCTTAGCCCTGGCTAAGTTCACATAACATGGAAACCCGTGGCACCAACTGCCCATGGTTTCAATGTTCAGAAGGATGGCTAGCCCACACTACAAACCACCGTGGCCTGGATAAGCATGGTGGGCTGTGGTGGCTGGATGAAGCTGGTTACGAACCACGTTTTTTTCAGTTACGACAAAATGATTAGCTGTATCTTCGCCGACGACAACAGCAATTTAATTTCTCTACCACCCCATGGGCTATACTCTCTGGGTGGCGTCCGGTGAACAGAAGCTGAAAACAGGAGCAAACTCTTCCAATCGGCTCCTTGTGAGCATATGAGAAGTAGAGAAGGAAGCACTGGGGGGTTGCAAACTGTCAAAAATGATAGGAATTAATGGGAAAAATTCCATAACACATTTATAATTGTTGAGTTGAAAAGGTCATTTCTTTTCCTGAAACCTAAAATAGCACCCTATATCTTAAGCCAGCTTGTCTGGACAATGCAGTCAGAAACACGACTTATTTCAGAAACCAACTTAAGACACGTGCCCGGCTATGTAAAATTCTTGCAACAGTAATACCAACAAAATAGTAATTCCCAGGTTTCCGGGGGTGGGGGGGAAATGAAACCAAAACAAACAAACAAAAAACTTTGCTGTGACTCGCAGTGGAATTTCATGATCATAGGCATGGTAATGCTCCCCGCTGAATCTTTCATCAAGGGCTTGAGGGGGGTTAATAATGATTTTGCCCTCATTTATACTGCTTCTTGGCCTCACTGTGTGAATAATCTCTATAGCAGCTTCCTATGGTTGCAGTTTAGTTAGTATGTTAATAGTAAAGTTGAAAGGGCAGGAAGAGAAAGCAGGATATTTGTAGTGAGCTCGTGCCCTTTCTTTCTGCACCCACACTGTGAATTCCGCCACATAGTACATGATAGATGCATGGTAGATGTCGATCATGTCCCCCAGCACACAAACTGTGAGATTCGGAGGTGCATTAGATATCTCCATATACTGACCTGGAATAATTAAGCAGACTGCTATTAACTGCATGGAGAACCTCTGTTGACATGCAAAGGAAATGCAGTGCAAGGACTGGATTACATTCAGACCCAACCTTGAAACCATTAGATGAGTGCAGTGAAAGTAGGATTAAGATGAGGTTCATTCATTATATTTCTGCTGCAGTGCACAGCACAACAGATAAAATATAATAAGAATACAATAAAAATGCAATGATTATAGAACATCACAAAATATAATTTTAAAAATTTAAAACCAATTTTAACCCAATTAAAAAAAATTATCACTTACGTAACTTAAGTCACGAGACTGGTTAAGCAGTTGACATAATACCCCAGTATAATATAAAGGTAATTAAATGCCCTGTCATAGAAGATAGTCTTAACCTGGCACCAGAAAGATATCCAAGTTGGCACCAGGGTGGTCTCACTGGGGAGCTTGTTTCAATAACTGGAGGCTGCCACTGAAGAGAGGACCTTCTTCCTACTGCCGCCATATGGGCCTCCCTCAGAGGAAGCAATCGGAGGCAGGCCCCAGATCTTCCTCATAATGCATGCCTAGTTTTGCAGCTGGGAGATGCATCCTATCAGGTATTGAGGTCCCAAGCTGTGTAGGGCTTTATCTGTTCAAACCAGCACCTTGAATTGAACTTGGAAGCATGTAACATTATGCATTTGTACCTTCAGTTCTCTGTTACTAATGCAGCTGCTGCATATTGCACAAGCTGAAATTTAGGAACCGTTTTCAAGGGCAGCCCCATGTGGAGTACACTGCAGTAATCTAATTTACAGGTTATGAGAGTATAGATGACTAACAACAAGCAATCCCTGTCAAGTTACCAGCATAGCTGGGCCACCAGCCATACCTGGTAGAAGGCACTCTTTGCCACTGTGTCCACCTAACCCTGAGCTGCCCCTGATATGGTACCCGCAGGGGTTAACATCCATCATGAGCAGCACAACCAAGACAAGACCTTCCCGTTCAGGTAGGAAAACTGTTGGATCATGGAGCAGACGCCAACAGAGTCCCAACTCTGTCCTGCTGGCCCAGAACAAGTTGCAAACACTCTAGATAGGAGTCAGATGGACAAGGAGCCTGGAGTGAAAGATAAAATTCCTGTAGACCATGGCAACCCTCCCTCCCTGACCCTCCAGTCCTTCCTAATGCTAAGTGTGTGTTCCCCCTCGCACCAAGGAGGCAACCCCCAAAAGGTGACCCCCTTTGGTGTCATCCTTTTTGGGGCATCACCGACAGAACATCATTGCCCTGGCATCCAGCCCAAGCAAGAGCCTTTTGTGCTGAGCAGGCAGGTTTGGGGGAAATATCCTTCCTCTTGACAACATCTGAAGCATCAGGAACTTACGTCTTAATACTGATTCAAGCATCTAACCCCATGAAAGCTGCCAAAACCTGCTTTATCCCCACTGCACGCATCCCAAACCACAATAAAATGCCATTTTCACGTTCGTAGAAAATTTAACCTAATTATGGAGAAATACTTGGCTATATACTTGGTTGTGCTGAAGGAAAAATTATGTAGCCACCTGCACATACCATATTTTTGCTATTGTTTTTAGCATTCATTTACTTGCTTTTAAAGTTGAGGGTTTTGTTTGTTTGTTGTTCTTGAAAGAGATAGATAGTTGTGCTTGTACACCCTTGCTGTGAAAATTCAAGACTGGCATGCTACAAAGTTAAGAATTACAGACCATTGATGATACAGTAAAAGCACACTCCTCTGAATGAAACTATCACAGGCACATTAGATTACAGGTTTACGCTATTTATGGTATCATTTTAAAAATTACAGTAATTTGTTTAATCAATGGTTAGCTTCTTTCTACCTGTTGTCGAAGTGCAATCCATTGTATGGATTGTGCGCCTTTTAGTTTTTTTCACATTTTTGTCAGTATCCTGGGCAATACTAGACACTGACTTATTGATACTGCGTGAACTTTCCTAGTTCTCTTCATAACTCTAAAATCCATAAAGTAAAAGAAACAAGTGAGAAACTAACAAGGGAACGTGTTTTTTCCAGGAGCAAGGTCACCCCAGATTCACTTCAAAGATGATGATGATAAACCTACACTTGCTTTCTCTTATGGAAGCCAGTCCATGCATTTCAGTGTAATGGCTGCAGATCAAATGAGGTTCATTGCCCAGTGCAGGTGGAGACTGAACACCTGTGAGCAGTCATGCATCCCTGTCTGCTGGATTCACCATTCAGTTAGTGTACAGGATCACACCCACGCTCTGTGACTCAGAGACCATATCCCTGGCAACCACCTCCATGGCTGCACAGATTTCTCTTCTGACCATTTACTCATGCAGCACCGCTAAGAAGACTCCACCAGGTTCAGGATTGTCTGTTCTACCTGGATGGGATGCTCCAAATGCTGCTCTAAAAGGCTTTTTCATCCATGACAACTGAATTCATTATAAACATAAATTCCAGGAGTTGGGCAAAACATGTGCTGTACCACAGACTCAGGTGACCCTGGGATTTATGCTGCAGCTGCCAGGTAAAGGCAGCAATGGATTAAATACCATGGTGCTGAATGCCACGAGTTACATTGGGCCAAAAGGCCTAGATATGACAGAATTGAGGAAACTGATTGAGATAGGTTTCTATCGGATCTTTTTAACAGATGAAGCAATTTATACGTACTCACCTTCACCAAAATCACATGAGATAGAGTTAGGTATGGGCTTTCACAGGGGTTGTTTTCTGCACACCCTCACACAAATAATTTGGTGTCATCGGTCCAGTAATCTCCAGTCAAGGGAATGTGTGTTTCATGCAATACCCAATGGAGTTTACTATACTCATAAGCCAAGGGGACAGAACTCCCTTGAGGGGAAACACAACGCCATGACCCAGGACTGTCAGCCCTCTCCGGGGGTGTGACCTCTGGGAAGCAATCAGACAAAGTTCTCGGGCCTTCCCAAGCAGGGCCTTCTACTTGAAATCTCTCACGCCAGCCTTTCAATCTCCGGAAGATATTGCTACCCTTATTCAAAGGGGTGGACTTCAGACTCCTCTAGTGAGCAGGTAGGCACAGGGGAGGATTCCCCAGCTCTCTGCACTCACCTGACCTCACTGCCTCATGGAAACAGCGATAGCAGGAACAGACACTGGCAGTGAGAAAATTCAAAAAATCAGGTGCTGCGCTGGAGGAGGTGAAGCTCTAAGAAGGATTCCCAGGCCTGACTGTAAAGCTTTCCTAGTTGCTGTAAGCCTGTCTTTCCCAACCATGTGTCTTTTACATTATTTGCAGTTCAATGCCTATCAGCCCCAGACAAAAGTCAGGAAAGCTAGGAAATGTAGTCCAATACATTTGGAGAGAACCATAGTACTGGGAAAGGTTGCTTTAAGTCCCGACTGGGTATCTTGACAGTACTGTAGTTGCAGAACTGCTCTGCGTGGTGCTGGATTTGTGCCATGTCCTTGCCTGATCTCTGTGGTGCCAGTCACAGTGCTAAAAGTGCTCCAATTCCAGCCACCTGCCCCGTGTCTCCACCCGGAGCAGATGACAGAATCTCAGGCAGAGCAGGACAGGTGGTATGTAAATAAAATGCTGATTCCAATTACGGAAGGAAAACATGGGTTAAACATACAGAACTGACTCTCCAGCTGAAAGGAATGCTGGAGGCCACCCTAGTATACTGGTTTGTGTGCTGGACTGGGGTCCAGGACACAGAGATCACTGGGTAACTGGGCCAGTCACAGAAACTCAGCCTAAGCAACCTCACAGGGTTCTGACGGTGAGATTGAGAGGAGGACCAGAAGAAGGATTATGTAAGCTTCCTTGAGTTCTGTGAAGGGAAAAAAGTGGGCTAAACTGTAATAAAGACAGAAATAAAATAAACAGAGTAGCCTCACTATCTTTACCACAAAGGTCATTTAAGGGCCCAACAAAGGCGAGGTTCCTCAGGCCATCCAGTGTCTCCTTTCTCTGATTGTCTCCCAGTGGTCACTAAGGTTGCTCCTTCTCCCCCTTCTCTTGGGGATTCCATTAAGGAGAAGCATCATCCCTCCTGACAGACAGCTCTTCAGGGTGGCTTGTCAAACTTGCCAGGTGGCTGAGTCCAAGAAGAATCAGAGCAGAGGGAAGTTCAGCAGACAGTGGCTGCTCAAATGCAAAAACTGTTTCCAGGAAGCCGTCTGCAATGCATCACTTTGAACCTGTGGGCCTAATGCAGGAATGCTTGGAGCAGTCTTCACTTTTCAGCCGTCTGCTTCGGTGGCTGGTATTTACTTGCACTTGAATAAATGCTTAACAGATACTTTTTTACACTCCATTTCTCTAGTAGGAATCAGGTGGCACAGATCCTGTGATGGACACAAGTTTGTGCAATATGAGTTTCCCTTTCTTTTTTCCCCATTTTCTTTCTCAGAGGAATTGATGCTGACAAAAAGGAGTCAAAGGTTTAATTTTTTGAATACCAGGATCTGAAATCAGTTGCACTCAATCTGACAAGGCCTTGCATTTTTTTTTCCTAAAGTGCATTGTACTTTATTTCCTGCCAAGACAGGAAGGCAATGCCACTAAAGGTACTGACTATGAAATTACATGTATGAGCATATCTTAAAAGTGGGAATAAAACTGTCTTTCAGTGAAGCAGAATAATGTGATAGTGACTCTCCATGCTCAGAAACTGCAAGATGCAATTTTACACTGCTTCGAGTACAAGTGTCATTTGAGCTGTCATGCAGAAATAGGCTCCCCCCCTCCCTGAGAATGGGCCTTTCCTTTCATCCTGCAGGAATGTGTGCCTGTCGCTCTCCATTGCCATCAATACAAGGAACAGTGATTGTTCTCGGAGCAGGAGACACCGCGTTCGACTGTGCAACATCGGCTTTGCGCTGTGGAGCTCGCCGTGTCTTTGTGGTCTTCAGAAAAGGATTTACTAATATCCGGGCTGTCCCTGAGGAGGTAAATTTCAAGAACTGAAACCCTGGAAGTATTAATCGAAAATACCTTCAAGTATGAAATGCTGATTTATTGGTATTACTCAGGGCCAAATTACAGGTTGCACCCGGGCATGTGTAACATCCCCTCAATTTCAACAGAACAAACAGCAAAGGTGGCCTTGGGAATAGGCTGGTTTGAGTTGAGGACTAATAGAGAGAACCAACTGCTTAACCCCTTTTTCTCAGGCCATGTACTGTTCCCAAACTTTGCCTCCACTGCTTTTTGCCCTTCTTTTCTTTTTTGCAGAAAAATATAGGAACACCTGTATCTTTTCCCCTGGCTGGGAAGCAAATTTTGAGCAGACTGACAGCTGAGCAGAAAAAAGCTCTATTTTTCACCTTCCATCCACCTTTCCCTTCCTCTCAATTGCAACCTGCTGCAGCTGGATTTCTTTAAAAAAATAGATGAATGAAAATAGGAAGCTCCACACAGCTGCACGTTTCACATACTGTGATCCTAAGATCCTGCCTTGTAGCCTGAGAGAGGGGGCTCCACCACACAGTGCTGGTTCTTAAGCACTGCAGCTTCAGGGGGTTTCCATTACATGGATAAGACAAAGTGCACTGCTTGATAGTTCTTTCAGGGAAGTTCTTGACTCTCTTCTTTGTGTGCCAAGCAAGAGCGGCAGCACTGTTGGAGCAGTGAACTTCCTGCCAGTCCCGTGGCCCCAGGAAGTGCCCAGCCATCTCTTCTCTGGACATGGGACCTGGAGGCCAAAATTCTGGGTGCCAGATCAGAATGGCCACTCTGGTAACTCTCAATTTCACAGTTTAGCAGTCTTGCATTCAGTTTATTTCAAACATTAGGAAGTTTGAACTTGAGAAACACTTCCTAGGCATTGAGATTCTTCTCTTTAAAAGTGAGGTGAATATTCATAATTGTTTTGGTGCACATTTTCCCTAACACATGTATTTGTGTATGCGATTTGCCTAAAATAAACAGGCTTGCAAACAGTTTTCCTATTATACTGCATTGTTAACATTATTTCCCCAATATGTACATTTTGTATCCATATTTTGATTGGAGAACTGCATTGCAAAATTCATTGAAATATAGATTTTGAAGGATAACCTGATTCTGGTTTGTTATAGAATTTGGAAGAACACAGTTAGGTAACTTAGCATTAAAAATAAACTGAATAAATTTCTCTCCCATCCCTAGTGTCAGAGTTATTTATTATTTCATAGCATGTTGTTGTCCATCGTGGGGAGCATTTTCTGTAGTTAGGAATGGAACTTTATATAAGTCTGGAAATACTTTTCCTCAGAAGGCTGCAGGAAATAAAGTCTTACTGTCCCACAGCTGATGGCTTTTGCCACTTCTTTGCTCATATTACTGCATTTGGAATGCATTGCACTATGATCTTGGTAACACATGAAGCTTCTCTTCTATAGCCCATTTGCTTCTGTGTTGTCTGTTCTGACTGGCTGTTCTCTATGATCTTAGCCTAGATCTAAATATCCTTACTCAGTGTCCTTTAAGTGGACATGCTGCATTTTAAATGCACAATGACATTTGGCAGTTACATTATTTCTAAATACAGGCAGTCCCTGGGCCACAAACAAGTTGCAGTCATGAGAAAACAGAAAATTGTCTTCAAGTCGAATTTGTATTTGGATTGTGCACAGTTGGCCCTCCACATTCGTGGGGGTTGGTGCACAGGACACCTGTGAATGTGGGAAAACCACGCATATCTCCAGCCTCCCCTGCCCAAAATTACCAGTGCTTCCTTTTTGCAGCACAGAAATGCCAGAGAGATTTCCCTCTCCAGATGGATGGGGATGCTTTGGAGGCCTCCCCCGTTCATTTCCTTTCTCTCTGTGGTGATGCTTTGGATGCTTTTTTGCTCCCCTTCCATTTCCTCTCTATGGTGGTGACAATTTCATGCGGTAAGCCTTTACCTTGAATTGTTAAATGAATAGACTTTATGGATGTTTCTTCGTAAGTATAGGTTGGTCATAACTCAGACGTTCATCACTCATGTATGACATTTAGCATGGGTATTGGTAAAAGCTATCCTTACACATTTGCGTATCCTGACTTTTTAGATTAGTTTCCCAAGAACCATAAATAATTTCCACTTGCATCTCACAGCCCATTCTAATAAGGATGCTCAATTATTTTGTCCAAACATCAATTCAAAGGAAGCTGACCTGATCTGCAACTCCGGGGTTAATGTGCCAAAGATCCTACATTTCTCTGAGTTTCGCTATGTAGTTCTCAGTTCAAAAAACATCAAAATGCATATATTAGGATAAAATTCATCTAGGACTATGTATTTTGAAGTAAAATAGATTAGAAGTGTGCATTTTATGAGAAAATTTGTTGTGAACTGCCTAGAGAGCTTAGGCTATTGGGTAATATAGGGATGTAATAAAATGTGTTCAGAAATACATATTGATACGGCAACTTTAATTCAGATATTGGAAAGCAGTTCATAGATTAAACAAAACAAATTTAAAAAATACATTTGAAATCAACACAGCCCCAGAATATACTGATCTGTTCATTCTTATGGTCCAGTCCATTATAAATAAATTCAAATGTCATACAGATCCATTATAATGGATCTGTCCTTTATAAATTAATTCATCTGGTACCAGGATAGGGTTTGAGAAAATGTTTCATGAGGAAATCAGTGTGGAACTGAGGGAGGGAGGAGAGTGACCCAACATCTATGAATCTTTGCAACTTTGCATCCCCTCCACAAATTAAAGAATTGTGCTGGCCCTGGATTCCAGTTTGCATGTGGCCTTTCCATAAGCCTGCAGCTATTAACCTTACAGTGGGGAACACTTGTGTGTGAAACTACTCTAATTTATTTATTTAAGAATATATTCTGCCTCTCATCAGAACAGATTTCTGGGGTCGGGGGTCACAGTAGTAAAAGACAGTGCAAGTGCTTATCATATTTATAAGTCTTGTATAATATGTTGCAATAAAGGTAACAACTTTTATCTGTCTGTGAGAGTCACCAGAGACTTTGTGCACACATACGACAGGGTGACAAATCGTCCAAGAATAAACATGTTGACTCTAGGAGGGAATTTCTTTTTCATATTTCAGAGCAGCACTTAATTTAGAATTAAAATTGTAGTCCAGGGGCCCGTATGCATGATCTGTGCTCACAATCAACGCTGAGCTGTTGATTGGTTTCTCAAGGCGCAAAGGAATGCCGAGAGCTGTATGAGGTTTTTCTTTCTCGGTACACATAGGATCACAGCCTTAATCATTTACTGTATTATGAAAGCTTTTTATTTCACTTTTAATTATTACAATGTAGTGGGTTTGCTTTGCTCTAATTTATGTACCACATACCATAGATTATTGCATAATTTACGCTAATGAGACATTGAATATGTCTCAGTTACAAAATATATGGGGAAGCAGACTTCTCTTTTCAAGAATAGATGTAGATTATGGAGACTTAGAGTTACACAAGGGGGACACCAGTAACCAGAAAAAATAATGGTTTTTCAAGTTAGATAGTTTATATTCCGGGATGTTGTCATAATATTCAAATGTAGGAAAGTTTTCTTTAGGAAATGTAATAGATGCAATTATTTATTCAGTAGAATTCTAATCATACTTTCCTGGTCCTTGTGTATGTACTGTGAGGTAGAGGAGTGGTTTACTGGATTGTAAATTTTGTATTCAAATAACAATTTAACTTCCTACCAACTTCCAGGCTTATTCTGACTATATAAATCAGTCTTCCCCAAGGTACTCCCTTCCAGAGATCTTGGATGATGGCTTCCAGAATTCCTAAGCATTACACATATTGGCTGAAGCTTATCCCCTCAAAGTAATACTGAATCACCATGTGGCATTTTGACACAGGAGGAATATACTGAATAGTGGACACAGCAAAAATAGGCCAATTTTGCTTGCTGTTTCATTACCCAGGGCACCATATTTCAGCCAGCTCGTGTTGGAGAAAATATTTTTACCCAACCTTACCAAACACGGCTTTTTCCCTGCAGGTGAAAAGTCAGTTCCAAACCTTTTCCTTGTCTTTTGGCTAATTCATAGACCTGCAACAAAATGGCTCTTCCAACCCTTCTCCTTCCACCTTCATTTGCAGGGGTAACTCAAGGGAGGGCATTTTATCAATTTTGGTATTAGCATAATAATCAAATGGATTTGAGAGTGGGAAGGCTGCACTGTGTCTTTCTTGACTTTGTTCCTGGCAGCTTCATTCCTTCCTGTTCTGTGGGTAGGAGAATTGATGGAATGGGATCACAGGGCAGCTGTTGGGAAAGGTTTTGGCAACTGTGGGGATGGCCAGCTGGCTGACAGCTAGCATTCCCCCCCCCCCCACCGGTTTTCTATGCAGCGTCTTTTGGGAGCCAAAGAAATTGTGGCTGTGAAGCCACCATGGTTGGGACTATTAGCTGGCTAGCTAGATACATACATACTCCCCTCAGGGGCAGAATAGGAAGAAAAGAAGACAGTGCCCATCACTCTGCCCAGGTATGTTTAAGAAGGAAACAACACATTTGCTGCGGACCCATTTAGTTCTTTTTGTTGTCAGTCAGGCATCAGGCCTCACTTTGGACGGCCAGGTTTACTTTCCTCCTTCTTCCCTACTTTGGTAACTGATTAGCAGCCGTAGCAACTCAGCGGATGAAAGAGTTAGCTCTGGGTAGAGTTTCACTTCTTTCTACCAAAGATTTAAATCATGAACGCTTTCTGGCCAGTAAAACCAAGTCTAACCTTTCCAAGGCAGCTGTTAATGCATCTTGGTCTGATGCATTTTTTTTTTCTTTGCATGACTTCTGTACCTGGTGCTTAGTCCTTGAATTATGTCCATTTTGTACACTAAACTCATTGGTAATTTGTTTAGATACTTTATGCTATTCCTGATGGTTCCTGATGCATATCTTCATGTTACCCTTTAAGAACTGTTTCCTTGAATGCCTGAAATGAGTGTCTTTAGTTTCTTTAATTTCCTTATATTT